ACAGTGCACAAAGGCCCACAATGATGACAACATGTACCTTGTAACTTGCCCCTCGATTGGTTGAGGCATCTAGTCGGGTCGCAAGGTTTCCAAACTTCTTGAAGCCTTCTCTTTGTCTTATCATGCGAGACATGCGAGACATCAAACAAATACTTTCCCCTGTGTCCTTTGGAGTTAAGTTTCTAGAGCTGCCATAAATTCTGCGCAGTATTTTTCACTTCTGTTAAATCTAGTCGCCTAATCCATCCTGACTTGTTTCGCCTTCTGTTTCCCCTTCACCGGTTGGCGACGCCGAAAGTACCTTGGACCTATTCTTTTCGCACTCGATAACCTCAAACATCCGCCACAATGTTGAAGATTTGGTCCATGGTAAGTCAACCATTAGTCGCGACCTATTGAGTAGCAAACTCTAATCTCGTCTATACAGAAATCGGCCCAACAAAAGGCTGACAATGCTGATGGGGCCGCTGGAAAGAAGAAAAAGGTCACATCTGCCCAACTGCGGGTGCAGAAAGGTTAGCTAGTAATGTTGAATCATTTTGATCAATGAATGATCTAACCTGTCTGAATACAGATCTTTCCGAACTATCCCTTGGCTCGACCATGAAGACCGTATTCCCCGACCCGGATGACATCCTCAACTTCGTCCTTGAAATAACCCCTGATGAGGGTATCTACCACGGCGGTCGGTTCACCTTCACATTCCAAATGGGCCCAAATTACCCCCACGAGCCGCCCAAGGTACGCTGCCAACAGAAGATATACCACCCCAACATCGACCTCGAAGGCAAGGTGTGTTTGAACATTCTGCGCGAGGACTGGAAGCCGGTGCTCAACCTGAACGCTGTCATTGTCGGCCTACAATTTTTGTTTCTTGAGCCGAACGCTTCAGATCCTCTCAACCAGGAGGCTGCGGACGATTTACGATCAAGCCGAGACAACTTCCGGCGAAACGTGCGGGCGTCTATGGGCGGTGGTTCGATACGAGGTGTTACGTACGACCGTGTGATCTACAGTAGGGTCTGAAGAACGCGCGACGGGCCATCTGCCTACAGACTCAATATGTTTCAGTCTGGACAAACTTATCGACACCATCACCCTAGCATAATCCGAAAACAGACTCGTAGTAAGTCGGTTCTAATAGTGGACCTCTACTGCGAGGTTTAGAGGAAGACGATGGAGGGAGAACACAGCATTAGATTGGCTTTACAGACGGCACATAGCAAGGCGTTTTCGAGGGGCTGCATTCACTTCAAGGCATGAGGAAAATACTGTCCTACTATCCCCCTGTCTTGCAAATCTAATCACAATGCACTTTGATGATCAGGCATGACGCATTGCATAGACGGCAATTGGCCGTATCAGATAGAAATAGGTACTGACTGGCACATGAAATGCAAACGAGTTCTATAATATTTCCGTGCGTCTTACAATTTCCTGATGTTCTTCGAATTGTCAACTTCTATCAGTTATCGATAGGCTCTGCATATGCTGAGGCGCTCATGAGAATTATAACTTTTACTGTCACCGCCTAATTATTGGAAATGTGTTGTTTGCCATACTTGATCGCAAGGGATGTAGTCGGACAAGTACATATACTATGAGAGCTATACACGCAACCCTATAGTTTCAACCGCGTCATTTGTACCTCTACCGCATGCACCCCAGGGCCCACCCTTCAATGTTCCCTTGGCCGAATCGGCAGGTTCTACCCCACCATTGGCTGTAGGCTGTTCATTGATTCGACTCACCGCCGAAGTCGCACACCAAGCTCTTTGCGAAGTTTAGCAGAGCTCCGAGACCCTGGAAAATTAAAAAAAAGTTGTAAAAAATTCTTTGACTCGTGAGACCCAGGTGCATTTATAGAACTTAATTATAACCATTGAGTTTTTGCACTTCCCTTCACCTTAATCTCCACTCAATCTATCCTTCATGATGGCTTCCAGAGGGTTTTCTAAGGCCGTTCGTAGCCAATTGGCCCGCCGGGTGGCTTCGCCCGCTGTTCAGAGACGTTCGTTTGTGGTTGCGTCAAACCTCGTCAGAACCACCGCTAAGGCCCGCCCTGCTCTGGCTGGCGCTGTTCAGCAACAGATCCGTGGTGTCAAGACCATTGATTTTGCTGGAACGCCCGAGGAGGTCTATGGTGGGTTCAATTGGTTCTCATATAAGTGATATTAACTACTAACACTGCCTTATAGAGCGTGCCGACTGGCCCAAGGAGAAGCTCTTGGTAAGTACTTGATGCCCAACCCGGAATATTCAAAGAAATATGTCAACTAACATGCTCTAAAGGACTACTTCAAGAACGACACCCTCGCCCTCATCGGCTACGGCTCGCAAGGTCACGGTCAGGGTCTTAACCTCCGTGACAACGGCCTGAACGTCATCATCGGTGTCCGAAAGAATGGCCAATCGTGGAAGGATGCTGTGCAAGATGGCTGGGTTCCTGGCAAGAACCTCTTCGAAATGGACGAGGCCATCTCAAAGGGCACCATCGTCATGAACCTTCTCAGTGACGCCGCCCAGAGCGAGACCTGGCCCGCCATCAAGCCACAGCTAACTAAGGGCAAGGTACGCTAGTATGAGTCACCGGACCGGAGGCAAAATGCTGACCAATTCTCAGACCCTGTACTTCTCTCACGGTTTCTCTCCCGTCTTCAAGGACATCACCAAAGTCGATGTTCCCAAGGACATTGATGTCATTCTTGTTGCCCCCAAGGGCTCTGGCCGAACTGTCCGATCGCTCTTCCGTGAAGGCCGTGGTATCAACTCCTCCTACGCCGTCTACCAGGATGTCACTGGCAAGGCTGAGGAGAAGGCCCAGGCCCTCGGCGTTGCCGTCGGCAGTGGTTACCTCTACAAGACCACCTTCGAGAAGGAGGTGTACTCCGACCTGTATGGTGAGCGTGGTTGCTTGATGGGTGGCATCCACGGTATGTTCCTGGCCCAATACGAGGTTCTCCGAGAACGTGGCCACTCCCCCAGCGAGGCCTTCAACGAGACCGTTGAGGAGGCTACCCAGAGCTTGTACCCCCTGATTGGTGCCAACGGTATGGACTGGATGTACGAGGCCTGCTCTACTACCGCCCGACGAGGTGCCATTGACTGGACGCCTCGATTCAAGGATGCCTTGAAGCCCGTCTTCAACCAGCTATATGACTCCGTCAGGGATGGTACTGAGACCAAGCGATCGCTCGAGTACAACAGCCAGAAGGACTACCGACAGAAGTTTGAGGCGGAGATGGATGAGATCCGCAACATGGAGATCTGGAAGGCCGGCAAGGCCGTAAGGTAAGAATCGACCCCTCTGGGACTCTCCAGGTTCACTTTTATGGCAGTTCATCGACGCTAATATTTTGATTTATAGATCTCTCCGACCCGAAAACCAGAAATAAGTGCATTGTGGCGTTTTTTAAAAATTAAAATTATCGGGACGGTAAGCTAAACGGCGAAGGCATATTCCCCGGGGGGTCAAAAAAAACGAGAGTCTTTGTACATTTAGGATTCCCCGATATCATCTCACGAAGGTCTTAGGGGGGTGACGAAAAAGTTTCTCTGGTCGAGTTATCAATGAAACTGTAATGAATTCATTCTAAGTCTTTGGATGCTCATCTTGCGTGCTTTCTCCGTTATCGGACCCTGATAACAAATCGTAGATTTTTGACTGGTTCAAGCCTGGATCTAGGGCTAGACTCCAATACCTACCAAGCTCACATGCTCACATTGTACTCTCAGCACAACCTGGTCTGCTTGGGAGTACCGGGGAAGAATTTGGATTGGTCCCTTATTTGCATAACCTCTATAGGACCTCGCTCCCTTCCATTCACTCACTCACATCCTATTGTTTTCCCAGCTTAGTTCAGCTCGCTCGCCGTCCCTAGGGCTAGGCCGCTCGAATTACAATGGCCGATCCGTCCACATCGCCGCCGCTAACCCGGGCCTCGGTGGCAGCGGCCCGGGAGCTCATCAAGCCGTTCGTGCACCGGACACCCGTGATCACGAGCTCCTCGCTGTCGGCGCTCGCTTCTGAGCCAAGCCCAAGCTCGGAGGGAGAAAGTAGCAAGGCCAAGCCGAAGCTGAGGCTGTGGTTCAAATGCGAGAATTTCCAGAAGGTCGGCGCTTTTAAGGCTAGGGGCGCGTTTCATGCTATCGAGAGGCTGAAGAAGGAACCGGGTTGGCTGGCGGGAGGTGGCGCCGAGAGGGGCGTTGTTACGCATAGCTCTGGTTGGTTTTTTTGAAGTTCTTTTTTTGTCATGTCTGTTCATTTTGTCTTTGGATCTGGACGGGGATGCTGTGCTGGTTGAGTGCCTTCATGGGTTGGTAAGTTGAGGAATAAGTAAGTAAGTGAGAAAGGATGAGACTGTTGATACGAATGAAATTTTTCTTTCTATCTTCCTACCTAATATAGCAACTATGCTTTCGTAAAAAAACCACCGTGAGCTTTCAACTAACAGTCTAAGGAAACCATGCACAAGCGCTCTCACTCGCTGCGCGGACTAACGGCATACCGGCATACATCGTAATGCCTTCAATCTCAGCACCGCCTAAGATCGCAGCAACGAAGGGGTACGGCGCCAACGTCGTCTTCAGCGGCAGCACGAGCATCGAGCGTGAGGCCGTCACCATGAAGGTCATCGAAGAGACGGGCGCCCGCCTCGTGCCTCCCTACGACCACCCGGATATCGTTCTAGGACAGGGCACTCTCGGTCTCGAGTTCCAAGAACAAGTTGCTGCTTTGATAGCCGAGGAGGGCGAGAAGCAAACCGAGACTGAGAAGAAGGAAGGGAGCGATGTGGTAGCGAAGAAGGGTACAAAAAGGAAGGGGCTAGATGCCATCATTGCCCCTTGTGGAGGCGGTGGTAGTAAGTACCTACTTAGATCTCCAGAGTCATTCCTTCCCCTTCCCAACTCCAGTCCCAGGAACTTCCCTGGTCCCTACTACCTGAAGTTTGTCCACAGCACCCATGATATAGTCCCCGCCCGATAACACAGATCATCACTGCCTAGTGGCCCAGCGGTCAAGGCGTCTGACTGTTACTTGCAGAATATCAGAAGATCCCTGGTTCGATCCCAGGCTAGGCAGATTTTTTTCCCCCTTACCTACCTACCTACCTATGCAACCAACCTATCCCTTTTGTACGCAGAGAAAATTCCTAACTTCTTAATAGTGCTCTCCGGCGTAGCCCTCTCCTGCGAAGGCACCGGGATCCGGGTCTTCGGGTCGGAGCCCTCATTCCAAGGCGCGGACGACGCCAAGCGAGGCTACGAGTCAGGCGTCCGCGTCGAAGCCGTATCTACCCTGACCATAGCCGACGGCCTGCGCACCCCCGTGGGCAAGGTACCTTGGTCCATCATCTACGAGCGACGCCTCGTAAGCGGGTTCTACAGCGTCAGCGAGGACGAGATTAGACGCGCCTTACGATTGGCCTACGAGCGCCTCAAGGTCGTTATCGAGCCTAGCTCTGCTGTGCCTCTCGCTGTGGCTTTGTTCAACGAGGACTTTAGGGCCATGGTGGAGCGGGAGGCTGGTGAGGATGGTTGGGACTTGGGGATTGTGTTTAGTGGGGGTAATGTCAATTTAGATGCTCTGGGCAAGCTGTTCTCTGAGGAGAGTGCCGAAGGAAGCGATGTAAGTATATAAATAGCGGTCTTTTGAATTTAGGGGATGTTTGGGTTAGTATATTAGGTACATACCTTATATGAACGGCATTGATTTCCATGTCAACTATATACACTTATCCCGAGGGAGAGTCCTAATGCTAGTACCAATGAATCCCCGCTACAACATAAATCGGTATATGCAATCAACTTAATCTTAGTAAGTAGCAATATCTCATTAAGTCGGGAATATGGGCTCTTGCTCCCTTACCGATTAAAAGGTAGGTAACTACCTAGGTAATGTAGCTAGACTCACTTATTGAGAGCCTTGTCCATCTGCTCCCTCCATTTCCGACTATTCTTCCTCAGGAGCCAGATAGCTATGTTTCCGCTCAGCCAAGAAATCAGTCCCAACATGGTCATCAGCCATCCGATTCCCATAGCGTCAATAAGGGGTTGCCCCACAACACCACCAGTGCAGCTGAAAATATTCCTCACAAAGTTATTAAGGGCGACACCGCTACTGCTCCTCCGCGGCATGAATTCGGTAAGCATTGTGGTAGCGGCGCTGAAGACAAGCATGCTACCAACACCGAAAAAGAAGTTGGCTACGGACGGAGCCGCCCAGTGGACGCCGTATTGTAGAGTCCAGCCAGACCAGATTAACGCACCGGGATATAGCGTCGCCGATATCCAAGCATTCTCGCGCATACGGTCCTCCGGGAGATAGATGAGTTTTCCGTTGGCGTCGTACCGCTGGGCTTTCTCTGCTGCACGCACCATAATCCGGTCGATCCAGCGGCCACCTAACATCGATGCTGCAAAGTAGCCCAAAGAGCTGGGTAGGTATAATAGCCCTATGATAATCGCCGAGTAACTGTACGGCGCTTGCGAAAACGCCGACTGGAGTGAGATATTCAGAACGTACAAGGATCCGAAAGTAATGGCTGCGTAATAGACCGTTATTGCTACGGCAGGGAAACGCAGATACATGATGACTTCGAGCGGGTCGAGGAAGCATCGCTTCAGCCACGCTGCCGCATGCTTGGTGTATAATTGCACAGAGAGTGTGGTAGAGACGCGTGATAGGTCATTCGTATGTGATGTCTCTACGGCGGCCGTGGGTCTACGCTTCGCAAGAGTCTCTGGTACGCAGAATAGAACAAGGACAAACACTACAGCACCGTACGCAGTTAGGAACCATACGGTACTCCTCCAACCAAACCCTTCTGTAAGGGCGCCACCAATAATGGGGGCGAGGAGTGGACCCATCAGAGGGCCCAAGTAAAAATACCCCATCGCACGGCCGCGCTCACGCGGTTCCCAGATATCGGCAATGGTTCCGGCTCCGACAGCCTGGACGCTTGCTGCCGCTCCACCTGATAAGACGCGGAAGACGATCAACATGCCGATATTAACACTGAGACCGCTTAACAGGGAGAAGACAACGTTTAGAAAGAAGGACGAGAGATAGATATTACGTCGTCCTAGAGTTTCAGAGAAGGAACTCCACCACAGCGGAAATATTGACATTGCTAACATGTACAGCGCTACTGTCAAGTTTACCACAGTTGCCGATGCTTGGAGATCCTTAGACATGTCCGGAAGAGCAGCTAATACGACTCACGTGAGTTCTCTCTCTCCTTTGAGCAAAATATCAATCTACGACATAATAGAGGGTATGTATTTGCTTACGGTAAAAAATCGCCGATCCCATCGGCGCAGCACATGCTGCCAACGCTATGAAGGCTGTAATTGTCCACTTGACTTTGTTTGGATATTCATAGGGTCGCTCGACCTCTGGGACGAGTGTCAACTGCGCAAGGAAACCCCGTCGTTTCAATCTTGGCACTATGGACAATGGTCTGGACCGAACAGACGAGGCTTGCGATCTGACACGTTCCATTGGCGTAGTAGCCGCAGCTTCTTCGTCGACTGGGATGCCATTCGGGGTCAGAAGCTGTTCAGGGACAGCATCTATTGATCTACCCTCCCCATCCTGGCTTGCGGTGGTAATGGATGCAGCAGCATCTTCGTCTTCTGGATGTTCTCTATTGATGTCGATGGATTCTGACTTCTCGTCCACCTTCTCCGGCTCAACAGCCATACCCAGAAGTTTCTCTGCTTGAAGGGCAATGACACTCAATGATGAACTTGTTGGATGAACAGCTTGATAACCGATATCGGTGAGCTAAACATAAACCAGGGTATTTAAGACGTTATATAATCAATTGAATACCAAAAAGAATAAGACTTCGTATCCGTACTGTAGTGGCCTCTTGTGTGGGAGTGAAAGACTGCCAAGATGATGGAAAATCTTCCTATTAAGAATTAGGAGGCTGGGCCAGCAAAGAGGGTGTAAAAGCACAAAATATAGAAATTGTCAAGGGGGTTGACAAGGAAAGATGAGGTTAGCACCACCACTCAGTGGACCTACATGCCCACTGGAAATAAGCTTGTCTGTTGAAGCCGTTCGACGACTCACTGATTGGCTTTTGTGGAGAAAGACTGCAAAGACCGGGAGTTGCATCTGCGCGCGAAATGCCGAGAAACCCGAGATCGTGACCGCGGGTCAGTGATTCCATTCGGTTAGTGGTTCCGATACGCCAGACCTTAGCCGGCAGGAGAAGTGATCCTCCTCGCGTAAGTGAGAACGATGCATCATGCGTTCCCCGGGACCCCAAGGCGATCTACATATGTACACATCGGATGGGACTGACCTACCACATCCTACGTCCATGTCCGTGAAATATCTTGGCTGGGAAATGCCCTGAGCAGATTTTCGTCTCATGTTGAATTATGGATGTCTGAACAATGTTGTCTTTCTTCCACAACTCGTGATTAACTGGTTTAAATTGCGGTTTACACGACTGCAAGGTCGTGGATCTAGGCTGTGCAACGTCTGGGACGGAGCAAGATTCGGGGCAAATTGATCATCCAGAATCTGGAAGCTGCCCGAGCGGTGACAGCTATGACCTGTAAAAGAAATCCACCTGGCGGTCAATGCAGTCAACAGGCCATTATTCGAACGGAAATCCGCATAAAAGGAAAAAAGATGACACCCTTGAGGTCATGTAACATTGTGATAGTTCAGGAGCCCTTACCCGTTCGCTCGTCACTAAAGATGGTTCTCGTCCAATTAGCATGCTCATGCCAAAGACAAAGCTGACTGCTCATTGCATCTCGGGAAGCTCACAGTTCAATTGCAAAGATTCAATGTTAGGAGCAAAGATATTACCCTAGGTAACTTTGAACGACAGAACGGAAATGATATATATGATCTTGATGTCGCACAACAGGATATAAATATATTGCACGTGGAGAGGTTGAATGTACAGGAAATGTTGGTATTGTATTTCATTGGATGATAATTATTCGGAAGAGTGAAGGGGGAAGGTCTAAATTGAATCCATCCAAACGGCGCGATGCCCTAGAGGCTGTGGAAGACCCACTATGGGTACCCGCCTTAGTACCTTAGGTAGTACCTTAGGTAGCTGCTGACCTCAATAACGGGATGTTGCCCCTCCAGCAAACGAAATTCTACGGTGGGGTAAGTAAGAGTTGACCGTCAATAACCGCCGTCTATCGCACTTTAACGCCGTTCGACTTCCGATATAGGCGCATGCCACTTTGCTCAATTTGATACCTAGGTATCTTGATATCTTGAGAAGTCATGTCTTTGACGAACGCTTCTCCTTCAGAGGCTGCCAGAGCAGCGAAAGAGGCATCACACGTCCTTGCCACGCTGTCCGAATCTGATAGGAATGACGCTTTGACAGCCATTCACGCTGGCTTAACTGCGGCCAAGGATGAAATCCTCGCAGCCAATGCCCGAGACCTCGAGGCTGCACGCCTAGCAGCAGAGAGAGGCCAATTAAGTCAGAGTTTGGTTTCTAGATTGGACCTCGGGAAGAAAGGAAAATGGGAGGACATGTTAAAAGGGATATTAGATGTTCGAAGTCTCGAGGATCCTGGTGAGTCACTAGTGGAGTTGGGTCGGATGAACGCGCTCGACTAATTACATCAAAGTTGGCAAGATTACTTTAAGGACCAAACTTGATGATGGGCTAGAGTTGACCAGAGTTACCTGTCCCATTGGCGTTCTTCTGATCATCTTCGAGGCCCGGCCAGAAGTCATCGCCAACATCGCCTCCCTTGCGGTCAAGTCGGGTAACTCTGCTATCCTGAAAGGTGGAAAGGAGTCAACCGAGTCTTTTGTCGCTATTTCCAAGGTCATCTCTGCTGCTCTGGACAAGACGAAGGTCCCTAATGGCGCCATCCAGCTTGTCACCACGAGAGATGTGATACCACAGCTATTGGACCTGGATCAGTACATTGACCTCGTAATTCCCCGAGGTTCCAACGATCTGGTTCGATATATCAAGTCCTCCACCAAAATCCCTGTCCTTGGCCATGCAGATGGTCTATGCTCTATATTCCTTGAACAATCTGCAGATCCAAAAATGGCAGCGGATGTGATTGTTG